TTCACACACACGTTCACCCACATTCACACACACACGTTCACCCACACGTTCACACACACGTTCACACACACGTTCACCCACACGTTCACACACACACACGTTCACACACGTTCACACACACGTTCACACACACACGTTCACACACACACGTTCACACACACGTTCACACACACACACACACACACACACACACACACACACACACACACACACACGCGCACGTACTTTTAAAAAGGGGGAAGGGAGAGACTGAACATGATATGAACGACAGGAAACAGCATCTCTGCTATCACACTGATAAGGTTAAAGCCTATTCACACTAAGCTCAACAAATACCAGGGCAGCATTGAGCTGCGACCTTAAAAGGTGGCAAAATGGAAACAAAATGATCCAGAGTAAGTAAGCACTGATAAGCACATCAGAGAGATAACATCAAAATGTGAAAAATCAAATGTGACAGAAATTCAGACCAAGACATGACGAAGAGTCAGAATATTATAACAAGCTAGAGATTATGTCATGTAGTTGTGATACTGAAAGAACAACATAACAGAGTGCATTTGAAGTCGTGGCTCCAACTGTGAGAGCCTTTAAAGAGCAGCTCAGGACCCACCTGTTTACACATGTTTTTGTCTTCTGTTGTGACGTCTGATCTAGAAAGCTGCTACAGTATTTATTGTAAATCATTTTGAGCCTTTGCCACCGCCATGTAAGAAACATACTGCCAACACCACAGCACACCTAGCGTTCTTTAACCATAGTTAGCCAATTATGTCAATGTTAGTGTTCATGCATGCTTCTTAAAACTAAATATGAGGTAGAGGTCGTAACAAAGATGTTGAATATGTGTTAAGAATTAAGAAAGAAATTCTTAAACAGCCTCAGGAAGATTAACAGCTTGTTGCCTCTCTCCACCCTGGACTGTGTTTCCTACTCTTCAAAGATCCAACTACAACCAAATAAATACCCACATCCAAGATTTAACTTTATCGACATGTCAAGCCATCACCGGAAATTTGGTTGTTCCATATACAGAGCAAAAACATGCACAGTCAATTTCTGCCGGAATACTGATCATCAAATGCAGTCATGCAAACTGTGCTGTTGTACAAATGTTTTTTTGAAGCTCGAGAACACTATCGGAATATAGCCTTGAACTGATTAAATCAAATAAAAGTTCTCGGCGAATACACCGACATTCACTTCACCTTTCTGATTGAGACCTTCAGCTAATATTGATCCCGCTCTTTATTTGGCAGTCTCTTAACTCCCAGAGGAGTTCACACTCTTAAACCTGCGTTGGCTCTGGAGACGTCCGCACAGCAATTACGTTTAAATCTTCATGAATACTTTGAAAATCTATAGTCGGTGAGACCGAGTGGAATTATATTCCCAATATTTAAAAATGAAATCTAAGTTTTGCTGTCTATACTGTCTGTCTAAATACACTCCGTCTAAATACACTCCGTCTAAAGTGTTTTGGTGCATTTCAACAAAATTGCGATGCTAGGCAAGAGCTTGGGTCCATAGTTAACGTTAGGAGTTTAGCGTAAATGTAGCTTAGCTAAACGTTTGATTAAATAGTTTAGTAAACAAGTAACATTTCCAAATTCAATGCACATGGCGCTCTGCTGCTCCGTCTCCTCAGACACAATGCCCTGAGTACGCTCTGCCGCTCCAAGAGCGCGGTGCTCTGAACAACACTCCAGAGGGACTTTTTACGAAATCCGATAACTCACAAAATTGATATTGCATTTATGCCTGCTTTATGATAAACAGATTTACAGTAAGGGAGCTTTAAGCAGTCTGACCTGGTGTTGTTCTTGAACTTGAGGAAGTAGTGGAGGCAGTTGATGCAGTGATTGGGTCCAGGACCTTCACAGCCGTTCTCATTGCATTCAGAGTCACAGGGGCCTGGAGACACACAGAAGTAACATAGTAAAGAGATGATGATGTATGAATAGGTTTTATGGTCTCATTACTTTGTCACTATTAACAGAGTTTATGTACAGCTAGGACACTAAAGAATGATGTTACTTTGCAATGCTGCTACTATGGCAAACCTGTCTATGTGCGGCTCTGGACTTATCACTTACCGTTGAACTCCTCTTCGGTGGGCGTCAGCATGTCTGTGGAGCGGGGCTTATCGCTGCGCAGAGATGAGTACGGGTGCGCAGAGGTGCCGTACAGCACCAGTGACCACTCTTTAAGCTTGCCTGAGGAAACAGAAGCATTGTAAAAGTATTACACACTTCAGTCTGTCCTGATGGTGACCAGCTGAATATCCTTTGACAGCTATACGATTGTCTTTATGTTGCACAAAAAAAAAAGATAATTAGATGTGTGAAGGCAGGATTTTCTTTTTTGCTGTTCAGTTGAAAGATGATAACTCAGTTCAACAATCTTTCACCACCCTTCAACATTATTCTATATTTCAAGGTATGTTCAGCTACCATAAGTAGATTATATTACATTATTTTCTCTTAATAACACACATGAGAAAACTAGGCACATGTTACATGGGACTATAGTGACTGCCAGAACAGCTTTTTTGCGACTGCTAGTCTCCCTTTGAGACTTTATTATGTTGTTAAATTAGTGGGTCATTTGAGCAGTTAAGTTCATTGCCTGGAGAGCAGCATGTGTGCTCCTGCTGTACTTCTTCCTGTTCCTTCTATTTCTACTGTCTCTGTAATTAAATAAATGGGTAAGTAGACTGATGATTTTCTTTTTAATTAGAGAAATTAGCAACACTGTCATACCGGGTACTTTCTGGCTGCGGAGTTGCGAAGGTGAATCATAGATCTCTAGGACCCAGTCGCCTGCTGCCTTCTCTCCCCAGCAGTGGGTGGTCATAAACTCCCAGTTCTTAAAACCCTCCATGGAGTGATCAAACAACCTGCACATCAACAACACATCCAGGCGCACACACACACACACACACACACACCCATACAAACACACAAAATCATAGATGAGGAAACAACTCAAGTACTGAAAATACCAGTACAAACAATCTCAGCCACTCAACCGAGTACAATCCCAGTCTCAAATGAACCGTGGGCAAACATTGTACATGACTGTGGTTCATTTGAGGTGAACATGGACTAGGTACATACAGCGCTTATGGTGTTTCAGCCCAGATTAAAAATTCTTCTTGTTAACGAAGCAAGCATAGACAAGTAACATTTTTGGAGAATCGAGCAAATTCATTTAAATGGACAGAAACACCTCATTTAGCTTATGTAAGTATTCAACCCCATGGGTCACAACATTTGTAAATTAGAAGCACTTCGCCTTTTTTTAAGTCAGAATAAAAAAGCTGAATTTTTAATCCCCTTTCTGTTTTGACATAAATAGCAAAACACTGTCAAAAAAACATATCTCAATGTGGGTTATTATATTTGAAGATCACATTCTGACAAAAAATCATTTCACATGATGTCTTTGCAGTGTATGTAGTATTACATTGCAGATAGCATATCACAACTTGCTTTGTTACCTGTTGGCAAGCAGCTGAGACTTGGTCCCTGAGGGTGAGGTCAGATTGATTGACAGGTCCCCACGGCGAGGGTGTGTGATTGTAATACGTACGACCACGTGCTCCAGGTAGATCACATGGTGGTTGGGGTTGTCGGTGCATCCCGTTGCCTTGTACACCGACCGGACCACATGCTCTGGACGGATAGTTCTGCAAGACAAGATGGGAACCAATCAAAAAGGTAGACATGAGAAGAAAACAAACAAAAACCGAAATATCCAGTTTGTTATTTCTTGGAACATTAACAGTTACAAACGTATTCCGATTTATATTTAACCAGACGAAATCCATTGAGATACAATCTCTTTTGCGATGCCAACCCGGCCAAGAAGACAGCAAAGTTAAATGTCGAGTAAACATTAATTGCATACATAAAATAAAACTAAAAAAATACATTGCACAGTAAAAACTCTTCGCATCAACAGAAGAGGATATCAAGACACAGATAGTGAATGATACATGAAGACAAAATGGAAACAAGACATTACAAAATTGTTATATTAGGATGAAAGGGCATCAATTTAATAGGTATTTAATACATTTGGCCAATATATTAGTAAATTAACAAATTTAATTTGTCTAATAAATCGTTTTTCAATGATGTTCTTAATTTGTTTGTAGAACAAATTCAGGTAAGAAAATATGAATGAATTCCAGAGTCACGATTTGTGCTTACGTACTGTTTGTGAATGAGGCCCATTGTCTTTATTCAATGTTATCAATCAGGCCACTGAAGGAAACAAGAAAGTCCACTTTTAACCAGCTCTACTCACAGAAAGTGGGAAAGCCATAAAACAAATTTTTGGACATTGTGGTATTAGTTGATTTGCTGGGTGTACTAGTACATATCGTTGCAACCGTGATTTTCGAACAATCATCAAACCTCAACAACAAAAAAGCAAACAGAAACAGGATATCAGATATTAGAGCGGAGCAGATGGCCAATGAGATTAAAAGTGTGTTTCATAGATGAGCTTGAAATCACTTAAGATAAAACGTGGGCTCTGATTACAGTAGCTTCAGAAAATTGACTTGTCTTTCAAAATTAGATATCTTTCCTCTGTACAAAGCTGTGGTACAAATTTTAAAGTGAACTTGTTTAGAGCTACGAATTAGAGATGTGCTGATACTGATATTGGTCTGATACAGAGACAAATAGCTGGATCAGGTATTGTGACAATGGGGCCCGTTTAGTATCAGATACCCTTATTTATTAACCACACATTTGGTTAGAGTTAAATTAATCTGGACATGATCTTCAAAACACATGATTTATCGGCTGAATGTAACTCCGTGTGCTCTCAGCCATAATGTACTTGTAGTCCGTTTGCTCCTTCGGGGAGGTTGGGGACTGTGGCTGTCTCCCTACACCGACACATTCTGTTCAGTCGGCTATATGTTAGTGAACGACATAACACTCAATATCAAGTTTCATTTCACTACGGCACCCCTCAAAGCAATCACATGTACTTCGATTTAACCTCCTCAAAAAAACAAAGATCATGCACAAAGGTTTTCCATTTCATAAACCTCAACCTGCCAAAGGAACAAAGAACCATGAGCATGATAAAAAGACAAAGAGCCTTTTTTTCTTTTGCCTGCTAAGCACAGCTCCGCAACAGAATGATCACCCAACACAAAGATATAATGACTCCTTGAATAACATCTGTGGTATGATCTAATATAATAGCAGTAGAATGACAAAAACGTGAAAACATGGACAGGTCCAGTTCGGGGGACAATGGACACCATCTTGCTAGAGCAAGTAAAAAAAGGCTCATACTGTACGCTGCTGCTGCACAACAGGGAACACATGAAGCAGTTGAGCCAGCTCAACATGTCAACTCACTGGCTGTAGCGCTGGATTACATGCAGGATTTATTTGCTGGAAACTAAAATAGAGCTGGTGAATGACGCTTGCTCGCAAAATAATATAAAAAGGATTACCATAATTATTATTTGAAAGACAATTAATGCCAGTGACATGTGTGGTTTGATCCTGTATTGGAACCAGTTTTATTTCCCCCCTGGGTTGTCAGGGTTACAATGACAGTGATGACATTTTTAGGGCCTCAGTGATACAGCACAGATGTTTATCATTAAGAGGAAAGTTACCCCAAGACCATTATCGGCTGGTAAAGATTGCCTTAAGATGTGCAATGAAGATGAAGCGTTTCTCTTGGAACAACATATTATTCAAACTTGGCTCAAGAATTAACTGAGACAAAGAGCAACACAATGTATTTGATTATTAAAAGTTCTTTCTTTTGCCATTCAGACCACATAGTGCCCGTCGAGACCCACAGATATTTCAATTACAGTCAAATACTTGTATTCTGCTAATGGGTTTTTTAAAACCTAAGTGTGAATGTAACCGTCTGAAATGATAAGTGGGCGATCATGTTGACTCACAATTAGTCTATGGATTGTTAATTACAGCTAAATATACCAATTTGTTTGTGAAAGGCCATAACTGGCCAGCAAGATGAATTTAACGATTTCAATTGAGAAATGTATTGTGAATGTATATATTTTAAACTACTAACATGGCTGAAACAAATTCCCCTTTCTCTTAACAATTAAATCAGCAAATTAGTAAGAAAGGAGTCAAAGTGGTTCCTTATTATTTAAAGCAGCGCATTATGAATCGTTTTTCCAGAATACAGGCAGGTAAACAATCCATAACAATTTCTACATTTGTCCTTCTACTCTGATCATTTTTATCATTCTTGAGGGACTAATAGTCAATATAAACAATTAGCATTAAAACCACTGAAAACTGAGAAACACAAGGAAATGGCACGAGCTCAAGCAGACATGATGGAATGAATAACAGAGAGAAAACACTGATTGTCTCTTTCGTAAGTAGTTAATGACTGTTTGGAAAGCGGACAGCAGTAATGGCTGGGGAGTCTAGGGCTGATATCACAGCTCTGGCTTCTCCATGACACAACACAGATAACTGAACCACACGCATGGAACCGAGCAGAGCAGACGCACAGCCGATTAACACCATCCTGACTGCACACGGACCAGGCAGTTTTCCTGGTACGTGCTCCAAGTGGAGTGAGGCGAGCGATCGCAGACGGACATTACCAAACGCAGTCAGAGAGGCCGGCCAGAGGGTTTGTGGGAACATACAGCAGTGAGGTGATGGCTGCACTCATGCAGCAAGTCAGAAGCACAGAACACGCACATCTGTAGATGTACACCAACACAGAAAAAGAGACGCATATAGACCTGCCTCCAAAACACAATCTATGAAAAAAACATGAAGAGATGAAGAGATTTTTACTCAATAAAGTGGTTAATTAAGGGAAAAGAATGTCTCAGACTTTTTAGGGCAGTTTTGTAATGTGTTACACAATAAAATGTCATGACTTTGTTCCAAAACCAAACCAAACAAAATAAAGCCTTATGTTTCCTCGTTATTGCCTACTTTTACTTTGCGAGTCTGTCATTTGGCTGGATGGAAGAAGGGTCATTTTGTTTCTGAAAAAGGCTCAAGCTCCCAGTAACTGGACAAATGTTTGACTGACCATTTCCCACGTCTCTAAGGATACTTCATAAATACTACTTACATACTATACATGGAAAAAGGAGGCTAAAATGACATGGTTGTTTTATTTCTTTTACACAACAACAGTGGTAATCTCTCCATGAGCCAACACACAATCCATGAGTACAGAGGGCTTAGCACAACTGCCTCTGACACAAGCTGGACTGCATAAGCCTCATGTGGACTGACTTGTGCACTGAAGCAGAACAGACAGAATGACACTGGTAATGCTGCAGTCGCTGGCCACCGAGCCTTTGACTGAAAGCAAACCAGGGCCCGAGTTCAGCCAGCCAGCCTAACACAGAACAGTGCTCAGGCTTCCAGCTGCATCAAGAATAACAAGCTGTGAAGCCCTGGCTCTCTCCATGTGTGTGTGTGTGTTTGTGTGTGTGTGCGTAGTAAAGGTCTTATGTGAAAACCACCCTGCCAGAACTAATGCTTGGCCCCTATCAAGGTACAGCTTGCACAACTGCACTCTCAAACACATGCTGGTGCATAAAACACCAGGGAAAGAAAAAACTGTGAGAAAAACTGAGAAAGAAGTTGCGTCACATATGTTGGTCTTAGAGTTGACTCAGTTATCTGGCATTTCACTTCAAACTCAGAGAGTCTACCACAGTTAATATACCTGTTTAACTATAGAATAGCCATCATTTATTGAGGCACAGCAGTAGAGTCCAAGAATTAATTTATGTAGACACCCCAGTCCACATGCTGTTGCTTTGGACCTTTTAGGTCCAATTAAGGGAAATCCTAATGCTCCAGCAAACAATGACATTTTAGACAATAGAGTGCATCCAACTTTGTGAAAACAGTTTGTCAAGTTGAACAAAGTGAGAACCATGAAGAAATGATTTTCCAAGTTTGGTGTGGAAGAACTTGACTTGCCTGCACAGAGAGGTTTAACAATGACATATTGATATAATATCTAATATACTTTTGGACAGTTAGTATGAATTGAAATGCTAAAGGAGACTCATGGTTCAATATGATTTCAGGTTAATGAAGTTGTGCTCAACAAGTTGTCTAAAACACGTTTCCTGCAAGCTAGTATGTCAGGATACGTGTGTGTGTGTGTGTGTGTGTGTGTGCGCATTCTACCTTATTTGTCGGTCTGCGCTCTCCACACAGACGTGCTGAGTAGGGACTTGCTTCCATCGCTCCGCCTCCTTCACCATCGCCTCAGCGTCCATCAGACCAAAGCCGTAAAGATGGCTGACTGTAGGAAACAGTGGAAAGTCACAGTAGATCAGACCACTCTAATGACGACTCTACTGTTTCTCATACTAGTGATGGTTTACTCAACAATGAGTGTTTATAGTTCAAAATTTCTCAAGAAGATTTTTCCATTATTTTCGCAATCTTGAAATCATACACCCTGAAAAAATCTGAAAGAGGGGGTCAGAATAAATCAGTGCCAAGCCCTCTGGACAGGTTTGTTGCCCTCCTTAAAGGCATCTAGTATTGTACCGTTTTTATATTTCTAGTAAAGACTGTTATCTGGGTTATTACAGAGTCAAAATGTGTCTCAAAAAAAGATTCAGTATTCTCTAAATTTGATGTTCTCTACTAACTGAAATGAAAATACTGTGGACATAAAAGGTAGTTGCCTAAAAATTAAAAAGAAAGTTTAGAAACTACTTAACTTATGAGTACAACAGCTCAAATATGAATTCCTTCCATACTTCTCCCACTCCTCATTCCCTGTTCTGTTTCTCTTTAGTTCCTCTTTGAAAAAAAACAGTCACTTGGAAAATCTCCAGGCACACTGGGCCTGTAGCCTGGCTGACCCCTAGTTCTCACTGTGTTGGTTTCTCTCCCTCGTACACACAAAGTTACAAAATGCAACCCCGACATGGACCCTGACAGATGGCAGCTGGTGGCGCAGTAGTTAAGCAAGAAACATTTTTGGAAACTGCTCATCATCCCTTTTGTGATGGGAGGAAACAAATTCAGGTGTCAAAATACTGCATATTGATTTCTCCGCAACTATTTTTCTAGTATTCTTTATAACACACTATGTGTGTATGCGCGCATGTGCGTGTATGTACCATTGTAACCAGCAGCATTGGTCTTCCAGTCAGGGGCACTGAGATGTCCGGCTCTTGAGGTCTTTACAATTATGTGCTGAACATCTCTCCATGTTAGAAGAGGACTAGTGGGAAAAAAAACACACACACAAACACACGAGTACATTAATATATTTATTGTAATGTAAAAAACTCCCAGGACAAACCTGTGCAAGAACCAAGTGAATAAATGAATAACTAAATGATGTAAATACCTGCTTTGATATGCACATACTCAAACAGACACACGCATACATTTTAAATAACAAATAATAAAATCTACACAAATGCACATACATAGAAGACCCGGTCAAGCTGCACTACAGATTTAAATACAGGAATAATGATGAGAAAAACGTTTTGAATAATTCATTATGTTGTGAAAGGCAAAGCAGAACATGAAGAGAAAAAACAAATGACTAAAAGGGGGACAATGAATGAATAGTAAGACAGAAAAGATATCTCATTGTTAATTCTGAATAAATTCAGACAAGGAAGATGTGTGTGTGAAAGAGAAACATAAAGTTTGGGATTAAAGGGGAAGGAGGTTAAAAAACAAAGTGCAAGAAAGAATAAAGCAGACGGAATGTAAAACAAGGTAAACAAAACAGTAATATACGTACAGTAGGTGGAAGATTACTGAGAGAGAAAATGACAGAGAAGCATAGATGGAGAGCAGCGATACGCGTTCATCCATCCCTAGTTTCTCAGATCTCACGTGAGATCCATTACGAGATGGCAGCCATTTGCCTCAAGTGCTTTGATGTACAAATGCTACATTAAAAAGGGAAAAACCAGGAAGAAGTGGGTCACCAAGTTTCCTGGGATTCCCTTCCATCTCATATGCCGGCCAGATGCTCCATTCCTTCCCCTCGTGTCACTCCCTCTCCATCTAAGTCCTCCAGAATCTGCACTGCTCTGAATCAGTTGACCTAAAACTAATATTCAACGTTGGCAACCCAACATTCAGATTTTTAAATTTAAGAAGATACGCTGGTATGATGTGAAAGCTTAAAATCCTTAACATCTGGGAGAATTCTCAGCATCACACATTTAGCTGCTGATTTTCATAGATTATAGTCAGAAGAATCTTCTGGCAGTTTTATCTGTATCAAGGAGTAGCACTACTGGGCTGGGGATAGGGTTAATCAATGTTGTGTATTGGTATTCTGTTTTATTGTATTTTTACCTTTTCTTTATTATATTGTTCTATGCATAAATTGCATTATATACTTTATGGATTTAATGTAAAGCATCGCTTTTAATTTTAATGAAAACAAAACAACTTTTTGAGTCAGATCTATCCCTTTTGGAACATTCCCAAGTTGATTGGCGAGTGTGGTGATCACATTCAAATTAGTTAGTCAAACATGTAATAAAATCCTGAGGTTTCCGACCGTTAGGTCTTTTTAATCTCAACCATTTCATTCCTCCTTTTACATACATTAACATTTTAGTAATGCTGAAAGCTGGCCATCTATCTCTCGCAGCACTAGAAAACAGCTATACTTTTCACATTAGCTATCCATCACTCGGTTTTTAAAGAACAGTAATCAAGTTTACTTAATGGAGTGTTAGGTCAGCCTTTTGCAGTTTGCAGGGTTCTATTCAAGAATGCTTTCTGATGTTAGGAATGAGATCAGGATCTAAACAAGGAAATATTGGAAGATGGAAAGAAAATGTCTTCTTTTTCCCTACCTGCAGTGCACATCAAATATCACACCCCTTTAATGCCCATAAAACAACAGTAGCTAAGACAACAGCTATTTTGTTACACTTTGTTCCCTAATGGCCTAAATGAGCCCACACTTGTCAAAACTAACTGAAGAACATATACTTCTTAAAAAGTTGAAAATAAAATATCAAGTAAAAAACAATTACAGGATGGTGGCACAGTAAAGTGATGTACAAGTCAGAATAATTAATGTACAGATCATTATTAATAGGCTTAGCTGCCACCGTATAATTATGGCTCCATACATGTTTTATGGTCATTAATTAAAAGTGACTTTGGCATCGTTATCTAGGCCACGACACCCTTCCTATAAACAAGCCAATACTAATTAATGGAGTAGCTTGCATACTGGGGAAAACCAGCAGCAAAAGAGGTCGTCTAATACGGGTTTCTTGGTGCTTCTTTTAAGTGTAATTATGGATGAAAACACACATGGGTAATCTGCAGGGAGAAAGCAAGAAGGAAAATGAAGAGTCCCTCTCCATCTCACCTTCATTCAGTCCAGTGATGGTTGATTACCCACTGAACTACAATCAGCATTTTTGGTACTTTGAACTTTATCTGCTTCTCTAGCTTGAATTTTAAAGCAGACGAATGTAACCTCCTAGCAGATGACATCCTTGTGTTAGGTTATCCTTGCTCATTTTCTTGTTTATCCCTCCTAATTTCCTCACTGAAGAGTCCTGTCTCCATGTTCCCTCACTTTACCATGTCTTCAACTCCCAAGGAGAAAAGGAATGGCAGATAGAAATATAAGTTTCTGAAGCTCTTAAACCTCGCTGCTTGCTGTGCCAGACTCATAAAGAGATAAATCATGTGCTGACTTAAAACATCTTAAACTTGGCAAAATGTACAGAGAACGGAGCATGAGACAGTTTTCCGGAGCAACATGTTCCAATCCACTCTCATACCGAGGGAAAAGACCTCACAGTAGAGAGTAAAAAGAAGTCTAGCGTAATGGCGTCTTGACATGTTTATCACACAGAGTTTGCTCGCTTTCATTCACCAGATAAGAGCAGATATGATCAGTATTGCACAGTTTGTCTAAACTTTTTCCCCTCTCCCTTTCATCCTCTCCTCTTTGCTTGCATGTGCATGCATGCAGGTTTATCCATGTGAGAAAGTGAACAAAAGGATGGAAGGAAGGAAAGAGTGTTTGCCTTGGAGGAGGAAAAAAACAACAAAAAGAAAACATCATGACAGTGGTGGAGGCTCAGCACGCACGACAGAGGAAGTGAGAGCTCGTAGAAGAGAAGAAAGCAGGCAGGTAAGAAGCAGTGTGTGATAATCTTGTTGAGGAAACAGGCTTATGTGCCCAGCACTGCCTGGAAACCGAGAATATTTTCTACTGGGAGGATTTGGATTGGATTATCCAGGTTAAATGAAGTGACCTCAGCTTACCGAGCCGCTCAACATGTGATGATGGGGTGAAGGCCAATTCACAGTCTCTGCACCTGCACTGCACTCACTCCGATTAATGAATTGATCACAAATAAAGCACGTCAACAGGTTCCAAAGAGGAGCAGGCAGGGCAGGCATCTGCAGTGTTTCACACAAGAAGCTACCGGGGCATCTAGAAGCCATTGTAAATAAAATGCTTTTAAAATCTGGCTCTTTTCTCATCTCTGAAAATGCCAACATTGAAAATCGGCACTCCAGAACCCTGTAGCAGAAGTGTTTGGCATGTTAGCACCTGGCCACAAATGTCTGTGGGTAGCCCTGCTTGTTACAGACGGGGTGAAATTCTGCCACAAAGGATATCTTGAAACCAAGATCTAAATTATTTATGTTTGAAAACAACAAGAAAGGGAAAAAAAATTGGGCTTGGAATCAATAATCCCAATATTTTGCCCACAATGATGACGGCATCACTATCTTAAGACAACTATCTGACATATAGTAATCAGTCATATTCTATATTTATAATGTCATGATATTGTAAAGACAGCTGAGATGAAACACTGTTCGTGTCATGTACCCTCATTGAAACAGCCGTATAATTGCAGAAAGCAGAACAGTTCAGATTCAAATGTCTGCAGTAAAGGATGCAAACACCTCAGCCTCAGGATCCCAAGACAACATTGTGATATTACAGAGGAGCTGGTACTGCAATATATTGTGTTTATCAAAGTATATGTCCCAGCTCAGGTATGTACACACTTCAGCTGTATATAGCTGGCACCACTAAATGGAGTGCTTTATTCTGTTAAAGTTCAAGCACAGTTCACCACTGACTGAGATGACAATCCACAAGCAGGCAAGTACTGTATACCGAAGAAGACTGCACATACACTTTATCTATAGTTTACTGAAAAAGGTATCGGCATAGTGCATCTCTAGACCCTCTCAGAAGGTGCACTGGAGTAAAGGATTAATCAAACAAAGTTTATATACCTGGAAAAACGATGGTTTGTCTGTCACATCAACAAACTATTGATGTTGGCCTGGCATCCAAAATAACAGTTACATATTAACAGCAGATGACTCCTTTTATTCAGCGCCACAGAGCACCCCTGCCAGCTGCAGATGTAATCACTAAATGTGAATACATCACTATATAGAGGCAAGTTAATTGCAAAAGCTGAAACTCTAAACCAATCTTTACATTCCATTCTCTAGCCCACCATCCAGAAGAACATTTACATTTGTTTAACTGCTCAGCACGATATGCTTGTGAGAAAATGCTTCACAAGCTCCTCATATAGATCAATGAGGCCAGAGGACAAGAGGGCATTAGAAGGTATGCAATGGGCAAAGGGATGAAGTGAAGGGATGAGTTTAAGTGGATCTTACTTTGCCTCCAGTGCCAGAGCAACAATGGCAGCAGCCATGGGAGCCGAGGCCGACGTCCCCGTGTGACTGTCTGTACATCGATGTCTCAGGTCTGTTGTGATCTGCAAACAGAGGAGAAGAGAGTGAGAGTGAAGACAGAGTTAGACAAGGGAGGGAAGAGAGATGAAGAGGAATTACAGGAATGAAGACAGAGAAAGGGGAAGGGAAGAGACAAGAAACAACCCAAAAGAAAAAAGTTGAAGAAGAGGAAGAGAAGAGAGAATAGTGACAGTATTGGAAAGATGAGAGGGAGAAAGAAACAGACAGAGAGAGAGAGAGATTGAAGTCATGAGGATCAGAAGGATTTAGACACACCTGAAACCCACATTCCAGCCTTGATACACTGCCTCACTACAGATAACACACACAGATATTCACACACACAACTACACAAATCACCCGTTTCCCCAAGAATTAAAGGAATGAATTCAATCCCCAAGGAGAATCCAAGGACAACGAGTAAGAGGGAAGAAGGAGCAGTAAAGCATGTTGTTAAAGCGCTGTATGTTCGCTTGATTGTTTGGACTTTTAACAGCCAACAACTCAAGACAGCTCGACAGTCAGTCCGCCAAGAAAAGCTTGTCTAACTTCCAGTATGAGCCCTCATCAAAGGGCCTCTCCTGGACCAAAAAGTTTGAGGGATTATCTGAATATACACACACAGAATCTGAAATGGTTAAGTAAGAAGTGAAAGTGGTCCAACAGCATTAAGTAGACAGGACAGTGTATGCTCAAGTAGATTAGACTGATTCAGATATACTCTACTAAGCCAGAGGGACACCGTAGAGAGTATGTGTGTGTGTGTGTGTGTGTCTCCGTCTGTAGCATCAGAATGAGGAATGTAGCAAAACACTGCCAGACAAGCTAGCTCACAGTGGACAACTGTCACTGTCCATCCAAGTGGAGCATGGGAGCGAGTTGGTCAATGTGGGTGAAACCAGGCCACACCACTGGACCACAAAGCACACACACAAACCAGGTGAAGTTAATGCCAAATAGCGTCATGCTGTATTCTTAACTGAAATTATACATTTTACAATTTTTAAGCTCCAAATCAAAACATGGTCAGTATTTAATGTAAATTATCTAGGACAGGGAGACCAGCCTTAGCATGCATCTTTGGTTCATGTCACGCATTTAAAGATGAAAAACAGAAATCTTGTCGAATTTTCATTTAAGCACAAACCACTGTGCTAGAATTTCGGACATCAGTGAAGAAGGAATACGTGTTCTGGCCCTGCAGTAAAGTCAGGCCATGGGAACTTGTGCTCATTTATAGAACTCGTGTGTATGCATTCAGTAGTTTTTAAAACCATACACACAATTTCCTTACAATCTTTCGGTCGTAGTTCTCCCCGCTGCTGTAGGTGGTGGTCAGTGTGGACGAGCATTCCTCCAGGTACCATGGCTTGCGTCCGCTCTCAGCTGTGCTGGAGATGGAGATGGTGTAGATGGAGTTGGTGTAGCCGTCGCAGGAGCAATGGTCTCTGCTGCGCCCGCCGTTTCCTGAAGCCCACACGAAAATAGAGCCACGACCCTTCCTCCCCTAACAGGAAGAGAAGCAGAGAGGATACAGTAAGAGGCTGCCGATTTGTTTTAGCACTAAGAGGTACTTACTCATCATCAGGCTTTGTTTCGGCTTGATATTTGAAAATGTTCTATTCATTTCTGTCTGAGTAACAAGTTCATGTGTTCAGTGTGCAAAACCACTGTATGACGAAGAAATGATCAGCAACAGTCAGAGAGGCAGCAAAGCCTCAGCGGCCTGTGAATGTCTGGTAACTGTGATTTGATCCTAGTTCAGTAATCATAATGTTTCAACTGGGCAGAATAAAGTGGTGTTTTCTTTCCTTTGAAAACTTGACATATCTGCTGTGTTAGTAAGATTTTTTTTGATCTCGGACTGAGGTGTATTTCCATCTCTCCTGATATCAGTGCCACAGCAGCAAAGTTACGAGTTAATGTACTGACTGACATCATGTACAAAATGTATTACGAGAATGATGTCATATTAACTAGTAATAAATTAGATACAGAACATTGCTTAAAAAGATGTTTGTTTTGTTAATAGTACACGTTATTGCATCTTGTCTGATTTAGCTTTTTATTTTTCACATTGGTTTCAGCAGTAAGATTTGTTTATCAATATGTGTTGAAAAGAATAAAATGATGTCTATATGTGTTATATTGTGTTACAATAGCTGCAGCTTCTTATAAATCTCCTCCTAAACGTATGATTACCATAAGGTCCTTTTCTGATCTTTGACTCCTATTTATTTGTTTATCATCATATCATGTTGTGCTATAATTGCTCTCCATCGGCCTCCTGTGTTTTGTTTATCCAAAACATTCTCTTTTTTTTGCATCCTTGCAGTTTGGACCTTGTGTTTAGTTCTATTTTTGTTTAATCATTTTTTGTCAGTCCAGTACATATCCATCAGTCTGTTTCACTCAATCTTTTTAAGCTTGTAAGTTTTTGAAACTATTACCCATACAAAGTCATTACCTGTGCTTTAAGAATGCATCAACAGCCCACAAAAAAAATGTAACTTGATTGTACACAACTATGAAAGGAAGCAAACCAATAAAGCCACAAAATATTCATGAAAAGACCGGTTTCTTTTACACAACAAAGGCAGAGTTTTTCAATGAGTCATTGTGCATGTTTTGCATTTCACCAAACTTTGGCTGAACATTGCACACATATGGACATTTGTTATAACTGAGGAACATTATATGAGCAGCCAGGCAGCTGTTTAATATTCAAATCCAGGTTTCCAGAAGAGGTTACACAGTATATCTAAAATAAAAAGAAAATGATCCCTGAGACCCGGGCCAGCTCAGAGTGAGCTTCACACGCCAACTAATTTACAAATAAGAGTATTCAGTTTTAACCATTTCTCAAACCTCCTCAAGCCAAATGCCGTTTACTTTTTTCTTTTTTGACATTGTACTTCTAAAATTGTCAGAGTTGAAAATAACCTAAACCCAGACCTGGTGGAGACGCACTGAGCTAGTTACGGTGCTGGTGATGCCTCCGACTGAGGCGTCAAGGCAAAGTTCAGCCAGGAGTCAGCAAAAAAGGTATCTGACAAACTCGACTGACACTGCGATTTAAACTGTTTCTCAAAAAGACACACACACACACACACACACACACACACACAGATAATAAAGGTGGAAAGGAGTTCTTCAAAAGGGTGCTTCTGTCAGGCAGCGATAAGGATGTGGAGCCCCTCTGAGTGAGAGGGGGATCAGACAGGAGCAAACGCTGACAGATGAGAGCGATGGAGAGTGCTTTGAAAGAAAGGAAGGGACAAAGAGAGGGAGGGAGAGGAAACAGTGAGTAGAGAGAGGGAGAAGGACAGAGGAGGGGAGGGGAGAGTGGAGAAACGCAATGTGAAACTGATGCACAGCAATCCAATCGTCATCAACAGATCGAAGGAGAGCACAGACTAAAGAATAAACAATTCATTGGTGACAAGAAATGCCAATTAATTAATTTGTCAGAAAATTCAACATTAACAGTTTCAGTGAAATATAACAAACATTCACATTTTTAGCATTTCTCTACTTTTGTCTTTTTGTCTAAAATCATATATTTGTGAATTGAAAATCCTCAGGTTTTGCACTGAAATGCAAAAATTGCAACTGTCATCTTGGGCTCTGGGAAATTGTCCAATTGTGATGGGGTTTTTTTTCCACCGTTTTTTACATTTGGCAACAGAAGTCAAGTACAGCACTCTGCACAGCTGTCAGTGGTATTTCTAACACCTCAGCTCTCTGTGATAAACCTTCAGAGAGTCACATAGGTACATGATACACTTACAAGCATGTCATATCCCCTCAGCTTCACAAGCACACACACTCAGACATGCACACAAACAATAGCGGGAGGGCACGCAAGCACATACACATGCCCAACTTGTACCAGTTGGACAGATATCTCCCTCACCTCTGTCAACTTAAAAGGCCAGCCTGTTGGAGCGCAGGGACCCTATTCTACTCACACTCCCTGCCTGTCGGTACCTTTGTTCCTTTCTCTTTTCTCTTTTTTGTAACATGCCAGAGGCAGTCAGCCTTCAAGTCAAAGTTTTCAGTTTCTGTCTCACCTCATCAAAGGGCTACATCTGTTTAACCAAATGGCAGAAAGCCAGGAGTAGCAAACTCTTGAAACATGTAGATGTAGTGTGTGTGTGTGTGTGTGTGTGTGTGTGTGTGTGTGTGTGTGTGTGAGAGAGAGTGTGAGTGTGAGAGAGAGAGAGAGAGAGACATGACCAGTAAATGACTTCACCCCTCTTAACCTCTGTTATAGCGTTTCCACTCCACCCAACCAACAACACAGCGGCAGCTTGTCGTTATGCAAAATACGCTATGAATATGTAGATGAATATATGCTAACAGACCGGGGCTGCTCTCTAATGTCCGGAGGAGCTTCACAAGTAGACAGCCAGGCAGGACTTTCGGATACGAGTCCATGAGCATGAAACACACACACACACACACACACACACACACACGCACACACACACACTTGGAGAGTGTGTTTCTATCTTTTCTAACCATATGAATACCGATGCCAAAGTCTTGGCTGAGCAGTGAAGCACATGTTCATTTGTACATTGATCTGTATGTAAATGTGTATGCATGTGCCTACCATGCGGATGCCATTCTCGAAGGCCTGCCTGGCCAGAGATGCTGGTCCATCCACGGTCTTTCCGTCGTCATCAGGTCCCCAGCTGGCGCTGTAGATGTCAATGTGCTGCGGCTGGAGGCTCAGAGACTTTGCCTCCACCATATCCGTTACATCGCCATCCAGCATTCGCACACCTTATATACACACACACACACACACACACACACACACACACACACACACACACACACACACACACACACACACACACACACACACAAAAACATAAATCATAAATGCACAAGCTACTTTAATCTATGTTCTTTGTATTTCATTCCAAATGTTTAATAATATGCATGAAACAGCCAGTCTACCTGCTTAATATCCTGTCATAATAAATTAAACAGTCAGACAAATAAAGTAATTAATTAAGCTAATTAATACATAAACAAGTATTACAGTGTGCTTGTCCCACACAACACCTGGTTGTATTAGACAAACTCTGTATCTTCAAGCATTAGAAGTTACAATTTAATCACATATGTTGCTCCTCTTTATTATGCAAATTTCTGCAACAAGATCTCTATATAGGTTTCTGTAATTCAAGTTCTTATCACATATTGATTTTTAGTTGTTGCGTTCATAAGAATGCAAGTGTGCAGAAGCATTCAGGCATCACCATGACGACATCGCAATGGTGTGTGGTTCATAAGCACATGATCAATCAGTGAAACAAATACAAACTAAAAACACAGCGTTCGTTGTATTTAAACCCCGTTGGTGGAATATTAACCAGACAAAATATCACTCACCTCCTATTCTAGCATTATAGGCAATCCCCACAATGCAGTGGGAGTTGTTTGCGGCTGCTGCAACTTCGCCTGCACACCGTGTCCCGTGTCTGAGGAGAGATCGAGAATGAACAGCTTACTTTACAAATCTAGAACATACACAAGCATGAGAGCACGGAAACACTACCGGATAAACATGCAGCTTTTGAAGTGGAAAGCAAGGACTCCTGCATGTACACATTTTCACAGATAGATGTGCACATTCCTGTTGATGCAATCCTTCACAAAATTGTTTGAGAGTAATAAGTGTTACAAATGTAGCAAACACTATAAATATTTCTATCATTCTTGCTTTTCCCTCACAGGCCTAAAAGAGAACAGAAAAAGAGGAAGTTCAACATTCTTCAATGCCAATGGTCCCCAATGAGCAAATACACACCAACAGAAGCACAGTTTGGACCTTTTTTGACATTTTCTTGGAGTACGGCATCCACGCACCAACAGACATAGACACAATGAAACAATAACAGCTGAAACAATGTCCAACAACAGTGATAAGTTAGACCACTCATACTACGTTAAATACGACTAAACACACACACACACACGCACACACACACACACACACACACACACACACACACACACACACACACACACACACACACACACGCACAACAGAGTAACATTCCACCAGTAACTGCAGTGGTGACAATCGGCCTGGGTCAGCAACAAGCGTAAACAAACATAAAAATGTTTGCCGCCTCCTCAGAAACACCACTTTCTGGATCGGCACAGACACACACTTACACGCATGCACACACACCACCTGCAGGGAACATCTGCATCACAACACCCCCGGAAACAGCTCTGACCGCTGCCATGGAAACCCAGCATCTAGTTGTCCAACCCCCTGGGGAAAACGCAAAGAAGTTAAGTCAAGTCCAGGGAAGCACTCAGACTGAGGACAATCTGTTTCACAGCAACTTGATGACTTCAGGTAAACACCTATTTAGCAACATGATCAAAGGTTTAAAATACGTCACTGAAAATCATCACTGTCCACACTTACCTACGGTGTCAACAGCAACATCCATGCTTGGCAACTTCATCAAAAACGCTCAGAAGTAGGAATTATATCTCTCACTTATATATCACTTTTCTTCACCCACAATCTGTCCCAGAATTACATGCAATACAGTCCTCTACTGTCGTCTACACTGGTGCAATACAACACAAAAGCACAGTAAAATACACAACATACTCCTCCAGGTTTTGAGCATTTTCCTTTGACTTATCACTAATTTATTGAAGTGTTTTTCAACCTTTCTTCCCACCTAACAAAATTACGTTAACTTAGCTTTCAACCTCGCTGCCTACACAGTCTTGAACACAATGCGGAAAGAATTTCTATATCCACAAACTATAGAAAGTTGAAATCAGAAGAGTACAAACAAATGTTAAGGAATACGTTGTCATTTAGGGAAATATGCTTATTTACTTTCTAGAGTGATTTCACTTGGTCTGTAGGCAACAGTAAATATGAAGACCCTGCCAGAGGTCGGATATCTTAGCTTAGCACAAAGACTGGATGAAGGGGGAAACTGCTAGCCCGGCTCTTTCTACAAGTAACAAAATGAAGCTCGTCAGTAAATGACAAACAAGATATTATTTGTTAATACTTGCGTTTTAGATTCCCCTTTGCCAGTCATTATGCTAAGCTAATTGGCTGGTGGTGGTAGCTTCACGATTAACAGAGTGGTAACAAATTTGTAATCTACTCAGTAGGAAAGTAAACAACAACATTAACGATATGTAGTTCCTAAAATAACAAACTATTAAGTCAACAACACCTCTGATCACTTGTCAAATTGATACAGGATTTCGGCATTCCTCATTTCACAGAAATCGGAGTACCATTCCTACATAGAACTGAGAATCCATAACAATGACTTATAGATTTATTTTAAAATCCATATCCTTCCGATATTAGATGTAACAGCATTTGTATAAATGTGGAAACCTTTATTGTATCCTTAGTAGAGTATGATTGACCTCACAAGTTTACAGAAAAGTTAGCTGTGTGGGTTGAAGTATAGCGTATTAGATGGCCGCAAATCAGTTATAGGCTCCTTTGTCACAGTTAATGAGCCAAACTGCTGGCTCCCTCTTTCAAAATGCTTCAAAAGTCTTCACTCGGTTCATTTCACTCCACTAATCCATAAAATCATCTGTTTGGCTGTCACTCCATTCTCGGTGTTTGCTTGTATTTTCCATTTTCTACACATCTGTGTCACAGTCACTCAAGGATCTCTCTGCATTTCAGCCAGAACTATATCAATGTTTGTGCAATGGATAACCGTCAGTCAGAACAACTTACACTCACACAGAATAATTATACAAATGCAAACACACACTTTTTAACGTTCTGAAAGTTTAAAGGATACAGCCACTTAAACTCACATTTAACTCTCTGTGGTACACATCCATTTTATAGCTGTGTATACTACTACTATAATAATAAAACTATAATGTATTCTTTTCTTTATAGTTTTCAGTTTTTCCAATTGAAAATCTATTTTTACATTTTGTCAAAGTCACTTTGTGTTGGAGAAGGTTAAGCGAAGGTTATGGTAAAAATCAATTTGCAAGAAGATAAACTGCTTTGTTAATGTTTTCCGCCTAGTTTTATGGGACACGCACACACACACACACACACACACACACCACTTGTACACAAAGACAAAATCAGGTTAAAACGAGTTACATCATTCTTGTACAACACATAGTTTGACAACAACAACACACAGTTTCAGTTGAAGCTAAAGTGAGCGTAAAAAGGCGTAATCACAGCCGGCACATTGTGCGCATAGTGGTCGCGATGCTTGGTCGTGCCCCTCGGAATATTTGTAACTTGGTGCATGTGGCGCGCGCGATCACAGGGCTTGGACAAAGGCAATAAAGTTGTCCATGAACATGAGATATGAGTTTACAGATAATTACAATCCCTCCTCGGCATAGTGGAGGTTGGTTTATGGCCTTTGGCTGATTACATACATAGACTGTATATTACACCTACAGTCTATGGGTTTCAATCGTTGTCTTTTTTTATTCTTCACAGTTCATTTTCTTTGCATGCCCTCTGGCGTTTTTGGAGAATAATGCAACGAACAGCACATAGAGTATAAACGCCTCCGTACATGCTCGGGGCTCGCGCTACGGTGCCAAGCGCTTATATAAACAAAGCTTAACAGACTGTTTCTTCAGCCTTTCGGGCATGATGACCAGTTTTTTCTTGCAGGCCACCACACACACCAACCTTTGAAATCTATTTCATTAGACTCCCTATTCCCAGTGGAGATGTGACCTCCATGTTTTGATTGAACTAAAATGACCATCCCATTAGATCATTTGTTGGATGCAGAATAGTAATATGAAAAGTCAAAGCGGGTGAACCAGATTTCTTTCCACACACATAACATCATAGGCAACAATGAATTCAGCTTTAAAAAGAAAAGCAACTCAGCTGCATCTGTAGGCCTCATGTGTCTTTTAGACAATGCATTACCAGCAGGGACTGAGCCACTGTCAAGGCACTTGTGCTGCTGCAGCCAAACACACACACAAAAAAAAAAAAAAATCACTCAGTAAGCCAAACTGGCACAAGACAAATGCAACCCTCTTTTTTCCTCTCTCTCTCACACACACACACACACACACACACACACACACACACACACACAC